GCTTTTATTATTGCTGTATTGTTGGTGGAAACCAGGTGCTTTTGTGACTCATTTTTATGAAGTGTAGAGTCATAAATCAATTTGATTTTGGCGTAGTTTTACTTAGTTTGGACTTTGGACTAATGATATTACGTTGATTGCGCCTTTTACAAGAAAGCCACTAGATGGCACTGTGTTGTGTATGTGACGAACTATGCAGATTAACAAAAAATATAGGCTACTAGGCTAGCAAGCTATAGCTATGTGGAAATGTTAAGAGAAAATAAACAGAGACGTTGAGATCATACAGTGAAGTATTTTATTTAAATAAAATGAATTAAACAAGACTATTGTGGTCTATTTTAGTTGAAGCCTAATATGGGTTGTTGTTTTGGTCTGTCTCAGATCATTAAAAAAAGTGTGCCCCCCTATGAAAATTAAATGCCCCCCCAATTGGTTTGTTCTGGCGACGGCCCTGTAATGGACTTCAATGGGAACCAAACGGTTCAAGGTCCAAATGAGAGTTTCAGTGCAAACTGTTCAAAGGGCTTTAAACAACACCAGACGATGAATAAGGGTCTTATCAAGCGAAACGAGCGGGTATTTAATAAATAAATAACAAAGTTTAAGTTTTATAAGCTCAAATGGTCGCCTTGCTCTGTTCTGTGATGCGCGTTCATGACTCTCCTGTTCGAACTCGTTCATCAAAATTAACGAATCTTTTTCCGAGTCAAAGTTGAATGAACCAAATGATTCGCAAAAAGATTTGTTCATTTTGATGAACGAGTTCGAACAGGAGAGTCACGAACGCGCATCACAGAACAGAGCAAGGCGAGCATTTGAGCTTATAAAACTTTAACTTTGTTATTTATTTATTAAATGAGCGCTCGTTTCGCTTGATAAGACCCTTATTCATCGTCTGGAAACGTTTAAAGCCCTTTGAACAGTTTGCAGTTTGTACTGAAAGTGTTTTTTGGACTTTGAACCGTTTGGTCCCCATTGAAGTCCATTATATGGAGAAAATCCAATTTCATTTCGACTGAGGAAAGAAAGACATGGACATCTTGGATGACATGGGGGTGAGTAAATTATCAGCAATTTTTTTTTGAAAAGTGAACTACTCCTTTAAAATCAAAATGGCTTTAAGAAGTCATTTCACTCGGCGGCCATCTTTGAAATGTGTCTTGGGCAAGCTCCTATTTCTTTGAATGGGGAAAGCGTATGATTAAATTTCATTTTTGAAATCACCACTGAAATCTGTCTCATAAATCTTTTTTCTAAACGCTCGAATCGTGACAGAAAACAGCATGTGTTCACAGTACCGTTCATCAGCCAGTACGTTCAGTTCACGTTCGCCCAAAATATGAACCCGTTCAGGCACAACACTGCTCCCAAATCGACCCGGATGGTCAACTATATCCGGTCAGAATCCGAAGTGCTGATCGATGCACACACTAACGGCTGAAATTGCCCAAAACCCATCGCGTGTTGGACAAGGACTTGGTTAGAACTACAAACATGGGTGAAAAGTGTTAATGAAGAGGTTAATAAAGATAAAGGCGTGTAAGGGATTAATTATCAATATCTAACCTGACGAAAATGTATTTATTCAATGTTGTCTACATTTTATTGCATCTGTTTAGCCATGAACTTTTAAATGCATCGTTACATTCAAATTGCTAACACACGAGTAGAGTGTAAACCGCATGTAATGGAGATTTTTCACTGTTGTTACGGTTCCACTGACCACGATTCAGCCATTTCTTTTTTGGAACTTTTCTTTCTTTCTTTTTTCTTCAAGCAAATCCTATTGTTACTCACATTTAGCACTTTTCAAGATAATTTTTAGACATTGCATAAATCTGTAAGTTTTGCACCTCTGTCACGTTAGTGAGGATTTGTATTCAGCTGTGACACAGAAGCCTGAAACACCGGTCTGTGAATCCACGTTTCTGGAGATGCAGATGTTGCTGCACGCCTGCTACCTTTTCAACAAAGCGTGGCGTTCGAAGGGAGGACCAGCTGCTGCAAACTTCAATACATTTTTAGAAACTCATCACACAGACTGAGGTGATAATTCCTGCATTTAAAACCAAGATAACTTTATAGTGTGGGAAACAGTGAACAATGGCATTTGGCTGTTCTTCATCTGTGATTTCTGCATTTTCAATTTCATCACGTCGTTGTTTGCTTTCGCTTCTCAATCTGCCTGCGATGTGACTTTTCACGGCCAACGCTGGTGCTGACATTAACATGAGGAGACGGGGAGCATCTTCGCTCAGATCTGGACGAGTTAGCTTGCTGTGCAATTGGGTGAGAAACCTACAATAAGAAGGAAAAAGACAATAGCCCATCTTTTCACCGCTTTCAAAGAATCAAGTGGCCGGTGTCTTATCCACGGAGAGGAGGAACAGGACAGCCTCTTTGCTTTGAAACACAGTAATTGCCGTCTCCTATCCGCTCATTAGGACTGATGTTTGTCTCCCTCCGGGACAGGTTAACGAGGCTTGTTCAACACGATCTTAAGGCAGAGGATAACATCTTCTACAAAGCTTTAATCCACTAGCTTTTCTCCCACTAGCCTGAGAAGTCCATATTTAGACCTGATTAATGTGATATGACTGAGATTTTTGGCTTTTAGTCCATCTACCATTCAAAGATTTTAGGTCTAAATATTTTAGGTCTAAAAAGTGTTTTTGAATGTAATAATTTACTTAAATTACAATAGCAAACAGTGTTAGTGAATACAATAACTGAAAATGAGACTGTGACATGAAAAAGATTAAATATTAGAAGATATAGTGGCAAAAAATATCATTACTATAAACGACAGAGTGCTTGTGGGACGATAAAGCGCTGCTTCCGTGTGATTATGTTTGGTGGTCCGAGGGTTTGTTTGTGGACCCCTGCCTTTCATAAACACAACAAGTTATTTTCACACTTTTAAATAAGCAAGTAATTGTTTCTAATAAGACTATAAAAGTAAGAGAGCTTGAATGAACTGTACTTCTGTTCCACATTGCCTGATCATTTGCATTCAATGGCGTCCAGAAGGAAAGAAAGCCTCTAATTAAGTCTGAAAAGAGCCAAATCGCACAAGCCTCTTTAACTCTGAAGACAATGAGCCTGAGAGCCTACAGAAACACTGCAGTGGCTCTTTTTAAACAATAGTGACCTTTACAAGTGGCTGGGGTTTGTCTCCATGGTTCAGCGAGTTGCAGCGCGGTGTCTCTCGCTCTCTCTCTCTCTCTCTCCTCGGCTTGGCTTCAGGGGGATTCCTTGGATCTAATTAGCCTCAGGGGTCCTTCTTCAGCAATGTGTACCAACCCCACCTCATGTCTTATTCAATAGCCTGGCCACCACAAAGCAAACTGGGTTACCCCACAACTCTCCTACGGATACTCAAAGTTCAAATGTCAGTCCGACAGGTCAGGTGTGCTGGTGCAATCGCAAAAGCGCACGTGCGAAACAGAGACTGATTGTTCGAGAGCCTTTAGCGAAGCCGTGCCACTTGGAAGACACCCCAAACTCAGACAGGAACAAAGAATAAAAGAAAGCCCAAACTCGCTTTGAGTTCGCATGAGGGCTTCACGGGGCCGTAGACGCAATACTCACCGGCGCAGCATGACTTCAGAGGGTTAGCTCACCCAAAAATATAAATTCTGTCAGTATTTACTCACCCTCATGTTGTTCAACCCCTTCGGAACACAAATTAATTAGTTTAAATTAATTTATTTCAACCAATAGTTGAAATAAAGTCGTTATTTTTGTTGTTTTTTTGCGCACAAAAGTGTTCTCGTCGTTTGATAAAGTTAAGATTGAGCCCCTGTAGTCACTTGGACTATTTTAACGATGTCTTTATTGACTTTTCGAGGCCAGCAAGAGTCATTCCCTCAAGAAGCCTATGGACTAGTATGCAGGAGCGATCTTAATATCTTAAATATCTTAATTTGTGTTGTGAAGATGAACGAAGGTCTTACGGGGTTGAACAACATGAGGGTGAGGAAATACTGACAGAATTTTCATTTTTGGCTGAACTAACCCTTTAATGCATCGCAGTGAAGCCCTGGAAAAAGCCTCCGTAGGCATCTTTTCTCGGTAAGTGACAAAGACAGGTTTAAGGCTTCACAGGCGAAGGATCCAATCAGGTTACGAAGAGCACTCCGAGTCTCCGCTGTCAGGAGAGAGATAGAGAGACGCCACGTCTGATTGTGGTCATGCGCCGTCGTCCCCCCGGGAGGGAAGTGACGGGGATTGACGATGACGGACTCCCTACAGGAGCTTCATTACCTCGCTCAGGAGCCGCTTGTGGTTTTGTATGCAACTTTTGAGAAGTAAGCCAGTTTGTGTGGGATTAGACGTCAGGCTAATGGCTCTGCCCTGGGGAGCACGATGATTTGTCTCTGCTGCCACAAGACCAGCAAAAAATAAAAACAAATGAGCGGCCTCTCATCTATAATTAATCATTTTAATGGACCTAGAATTGCCGGCATCTTCGCTCGGCTTTAAGCGTCTAGACTCAGATTACCGGTTTAAAACTCTGTTACTTCGAGGCCGGCGTAATGAACTTATTCCTCTGGAATATATCATAGTTTTAACAAAGGAAGGAAAGAAATCGATAATGATAATCAGGCCGAGCCAGGCTGCCCGGGAGCTAAGCTGACGCAATGCATTTGTGTCAGGGCCTGTATTGATCGCAAACATATCTAATGTGTCTTATTAAAGCTGATTAGCCCTGATTTCAGAATATCACACATTTATCTGACTCAGAGATTGACTTTGTTCTTGTCTACATTCACAGTATTGCAGAGGCGGTAGTTTTTTCCCCTCGCTCTCTTTACTCTTTTACTGCTCGAGCGCATTATGCATCGATTTGTCTGATTGTCCATCGGTTCATCCATCAATCCATCTATCCTCACTCAAAAAAAAAAAGCTCCAATTAGAAAAGAGAAATTGCTTGTAATTGAACATCTATCATTCTATCCATCTCTGGTTTGGAAGGTTCTGGAAGTGACACTGACCCAGAACGGTGAGCCGAGCCGGTCGAGATCGACTCGCAGCCTGGATGGCTTGACACTCGAAGCTGCCGTCATCGATCAGTTCTGTCCTCTGGATCAGGAGGTGGTATTCTCCTTTGCTGTGGTCCCCAATCACGTCATAGCGTGGATAACCTGAAACACAAGGTCTTAGTTTTAACATTATCAAACATAAAAAGCGATTTTTGAATGTTGTAGTCCGAAATTCACGTCCGAAATTTCCGCATGTTAAAAATAAATACGGACCTCACTTTATGTCAATGACGCTTGCACACTGCCTACGAAATTTTGTCCGTCATAAAAAATGACTCGGGTTCGATTTTCTGCGTTTTTCGCATCCGTAGCAAGAAGTTTCAATGGTGTTTTGACAATTCAGAGCCACAGAATCACAAATACGAAAAAACGCATACGACTCGGTGTGCAATGGCCTTAGTGCTAGTATTGTATTGTTAAATTCTATAAAAGTTGTAGGAATTTGTAAAATATTACAGTCATATGAAAAGACCAATAGTTTACAGCTCAATAAGAGACGGGACTTGAGTAATCTCCAGTCATGTTTACCCTTACGAAAAACAACTTTATACAGGAGTGCTATTAGTATACTTCTTTTCTTTTTATGTACTTCTTACAAATATACTTCAAATTGCACTTATATATACTTGACATATACTGACAGAAAAGGCAATGTATAGACCATTTCGCAAGATGTAAACAACACTGGTCCAGAAGCACTTCCTGTTTCAGTTCTTTAACACTACATAAAAGCTGGGATAAAATACAACCAACAGAATCAAAAAGTTTATTAAGATGTTTTCTTTACATGTGAAATAAAGAAAACAGTTACAAACTGAAACAGGAAGTGTTTCTGGACCAGTGTTGTTTACATCTTGTGAAATGGTCTATATTTGGCCTATAATTGATGGAGATCTACTTAACAGCATAATTAAGTTCTCTAAGTAATTTTGATTAAGTAGTGATTAAAAAAGTGATTAAATGCTTTTTTTAAAACATACACACTGTCTTTTACAATAACATGTTCAAGTTTATATAGTAACAAGCGTTGGGTAGAATAGAGTAAATAACATGATTCTCAACTTTTTTATTTAAAATGTTTGCTTTCTTTATGAAACTAACCAACATTCAAGTCTTGATAGAACAGCATGCATGAAGCTAATGACATGTTTGTTTGTTTTTTAAATTAATGTACAGTTAAAAGCATTTTTTCAAGTATAAAAATAACATATCAACATAGTATAGGCCTAATATATACATAGTAAACTATAAGTATAATGTTAAATTCACTTAAAGAAAACTTTCAGTAAACTACTAGTTCGTATATATGAAGAGTTCAGATGCAAAAGCCTCTAAGTGCCATTTGAAATTTTCTTCTTTAATGATGCTTTTTATCAAGCTTGTATATTTAAGTTCAGTGATTTCACTTAAATGGCAATGATAATTACCTATTAATTGTTATTTAAGTGAAATTACTGAACTTAAATATACAAGTTTGATAAAAATCATCATTAAAGAAGAAAATTTCAAATGGCATTTAGAGGCTTTTGCATCTGAACTCTTCATATGTAAAAAATAAATGCAGCAAATGATGAATGGTGGGTTTGTGGAAGAACAAAACTGCTCTGATACTCTCCTCAAGACAGATGTCTCATTTTTAGTTAATCTCCTCATTCAGCAAACAGATCGCAGCCCCGGGCACGGTTAAATCCCAACGTGATCCTGTGAACGCTTCTCCCGCGCCTGCTCATCCTTTATATTACAGACTGTTTGGCTGTCCTGTGCTATCTGGTAATACGCCTGTATTAGGAATCGATAGTGTCGTTACTGCCTTCAGGTTTCCTGCCACTGGATCTTCTTTTGCCTTTTATTTAAGGGCTGTTTTCATTAGGGATTATTGAGGCATACAGGCGCCTCAATAAAGCTCTGATGAATTCCCCAATATGCTTGACTGGATGGCTTCAGACAATGGCTGTCAATTAGAAGAAACAATGTGAAATGACCCTATTAAAGGTAATGAATCCCAGCGAAATGGATTCGGCTTCGCGTTGGATCAATAGCAGCTGCGATAGAGAGCTGGGACATGGATTTATCACAATGTGGGCATCTCATACTGACACTCCAATAGATGAAAGCACGCTAGAAACTCGGTGGAAAGCGGACAGATCCGCGGAGAGGCATCCTAATCAAGCGTTATCTGAGCTTCAGTCTCTCTGACACAAAATCCGTAACTTCTCAAGCGCTGAGGAAAAGATATAGATATCTGTGTCGTATTGATCGCAGGATGATGTGTCATTTCATCTGCTGACAGATTTTATGAAAACCCGCTAACAACTTGCTTCACGTTTAAAACAATCCTCTTATCTGCTCTGAACGCTGATATCCATTCATGTCGGGGCTCTAGTTCATTTTAGCGAGTGATCCACTTGTCCGGTTGCCACTGATGGTTAAGTGTCCTCGATTACCCCACGGTACTACGAAATCCAGGAGTCCCTGGACTCTAATAAAAGCTTGGAGAAAGACAGACGCAGTGGAAAGGAAAGAAAAGCCCAGAGAGGCTCAATTAAAGAGCTCCGTCCATGACTAAACGCTGCCTGCAGCCGCGGCTAAAAATGAGGAAACCCATGTCCGAGATGGAGATCCTCTCTCGGTAATCACGAGAGCGCAGCTAAAGGCTCAACTCTCACATATTAATTGCTCGTTTCTTGAAGTCGTATCAGCAAATGTTGGAGATATTGACCCCTTGATCCAGCAATTATGGGTAACGTTAGCTAAACGGGATCTGATCGCTGTACTCTGAGTTAGATATGAGAATAAATCGATGAATTGTGCTTCGCTAGCCAATAGATGTTTCAAAGAGCTAACACGCTCAGCTTCGAGTGAGCTGAAGCACATTTGGAAGTGACATTCAGCAAATGAAAGCTTTAGGGACGAATGTGCAATGAATTTCAATTAGACCAAAGTTTGTTTGGCATTTTGTCTTTAATCTGGAAGTTCAACGCAAATAAAACAGTCAGTAAATGTGGCGGGTCTGGTAATCATATCTGGTTTGTTTATGATTTGCAAAGCAATCCGATCTGATTTTGCAAACCTAAGCCTAAAGATTGTCCTTAATCCGCTCGAAATAAATTAATTTGTAAAGCGTGCGAAAGCATGTCAAACAGCTGCACTTGCGGCACGTCTCTCCGGGCTTCTGCGGATCATCAAGTGTTTGCCTTAATTAATGATGGAAATGCAATTAATTCTCCATTGTTGCTTTGCTTTGCTCAGTCTGTCAGGAACTTTCTGAAGCAAACAGGAAAACCTTGTCAAACATTCACCAAAAGTTAGTTCGGCAAAGCTTGTCGTGGTGTCGGAGGAAGCCTTCACACACACACACACACACACAGTTGTCCTTGTAATAGAGCGTAACACTCCACTAGACAAAGACATTTCTGAGATATTCATCTCCTCTGTAATGATCCAGAGAGACACGCTACTTCAGGTTTCAGTCTGCAGAACTGACAGCAAAGATTACATTTTTATCATCAAATATTCATTTCAAGGTAAATTGTGTAAAGCAGACAAGCTTTTGTTTTAGATATAATTCCTCCGTAAATATTCTAGCTCTACTGTTCTCATTGAAAACCATAGATGTCACAAACCTCAAAACAACCCATCACACACTTTTGTTGTTGTTAGCAAAATGCATGTGTGTAACGTTGATTGACGAAACTAGAGGTTAACTTTTAATTACATGATCATACACCCATTAAAATGACCTCGAGTGATGACCTCGTCAGTGGTGGAATGTAACGAAGTACAAATACTTTGTTACTTTACTTAAGTACATTTTTCACGTATCTTTACTTTACTTAAGTAGAATAAATAGTGCATACTTTTTACTTTTACTTTGTTACAGTTTGCAGCAATTATTCTACTTTCTACTCCACTACATTTCTACAACTTCTGTTACATTTTCCTGATCAGTTTTTCCCCGGCCAAAACGTAATCTGCCCGTCCGTCCGTTGCACGTTTGTCTCACCAGTGACGTTTGGTTGCCATAGATACGTCAACTAAATGCGTCTCGCACACACTGTGTTTATCGTGCAATTTATACGCGAAAATTAGTTTTTACGTGCATAGGAAACACACCGTGTGTAATATACGTTTGGTTAGGATTAGGTTCAGAATTACACCATAAATTAATCGCGTCTACTGCCCAAACATAGTTATTAACATATAGTAAGGATAAGCATGGTTTATATTGCCTAATTGCAAGCTTGTTTCAGAAATGGTGACAACAATTTTTTTCCATCATTATTGAACATCATTATAGGAGTATTAGGTTGAGTGAGTTAGAATTAAATGTTTTATTAATCAGAAAAGAGTTATTAAGAGAATCAATTGTTATGCAAGTACTTTTACTTTTAATATTTAAAGTACATTTAAAACCAGGCACTTTTTACTTAAGTATGGTTGTCATCGTGTTATTTCGACTTTTACTAAAGTAAATATTTATCTGGTTATTTGTACTTTTACTTCAGTACTGAGATTCCACCACTGGACCTCGTGTACACTCTAAAAAATGCTGCGTTGTTTCAACCCAATTTTGGGTCAAATATGGACAAACCCAAACACTGGGTTAAAAAGTTATTTCAAAATTGAACCCAACGGCTGGGTTTGTCCATGTTTGACCTAAAGTTGGCTTGAAACAACCCAGCATTTTTTAGAGTGTAACGTTATTCTGTGATCTCATCTGGTTAGTAGTACAACCAATCGCACAACAACTACAGTATCTGCGTGTCGTTTACACCTCGAAACACCAACTTTTGTATAAAAACTGGCTAGTTTACTGGGTTTCGGCGTTCTTGCCCGCCAGCCAGTAGTGCAGGCTACGAAACAGACAGAATCTCTCACCTGACAGGTCGCGGTTGACCCCTAGAGCGAGGCCGTCTTTGACCCACAGCACCATGCCATGATATCCAGTGATGGAGCAGGGCAGGGTCACGGGTTGCCCGGCCACTACCACCAGGTCATGCGGCTGCTGGATAAACACAACGCCGCCTCCTAAAACAGAGGAAAGACAGAGAGAATGAGCGAGGGAGGTCACAATTATAAATCATCAAATACAATTTGTCAGAGCTCACTGCCCCTGCCAGAGGATTCACAAAAAACAGCCTTTTACTTGAGGACCGTTATTATGGCTCTAGTAAATCTACTCCGAACCCCCAAAACTCACTTTGAAGAGTAAATCTATAAATCTGAACTTGACGTCACTGGAATCCTTCATAAAGTGCACTGCCACACAGAAGTATGAGGAGGTGCCTCACAGTTAGTAAAGCTGAACATGACAGTGCTGAGATCCACAAGACTGTAAATCAGCGCGAGCTCTCCGAAACTCAGCAGAAGAAGAACTTCGCCGGAGCCGATGACAGGCGGCGGTGCTCGGAGCGGACGCTCGCGACGGCTGTTCACCTTGATGTCTAGAATGAGCTACACATGAGAAAGTGCCCTGACGGAGAGCAAGGGGTGAAAAGTACGTGTTCCCTTTCCCATTAAACTGCAGAGAGAGAGAGAGAGAGAGAGAGAGACAGGCCGAGTTATGGGGAAGCGGATAACAGTGTCGATAGAAAGCGAATTTGTATTTCTCTGAGAATATATTCACAGAAGATTCGCATCTCGCACTTTCAAGTCGCTTTCCCTCACCTCCTATTTTTTTTGTCCCCAAGACCACTTTGGTCGCCTTTTGTCTTAAATTCAATAAAGTGCAGCTCTGCGAGACATGCAACACATGCTGTAAGTTATTCTGTGCTATAACACCAATTCTCACACATGATCTTAGTTCTGTTAAAGTATATATATATATAAAAACATTGAAGCTCAGCGTACATATTTTGTTAGTCGAAACATGTTGAAGATGATGAAGGGTGTTTATAGCACAGCCCTCGTGATCTTTACACTTTATTAAGGAAGTTCTCAGTTGTTTGTCATTTAAACAGCACCTTTGCTTTTGAGGTTTCACGTAATATTACTCGTCGTGAGCAGTAAAAATAGACACAGGTGAGAAACTAGGCTGCCTTGTTTACACCTGCAGATGAGTTTCTTCAAGGGGAGGGTCTGTATACTGTACTTTTCAGATCTAATGGACAAAATAAGCTCGGGTAATTTACATATGTACACAACACTAAAAACCATTTCTTACCTAAAACCTAAATAACATAAAATTTAAAAAACAACAACAATTTTTACAATATTACTGTTTTTACTGGTTTTGAACACATAAATGCAGCAGTGCCGAGAATAAGAGACTCGGAAACATTTTGGACAGTAGTGTAACTGCACTTATCTGTGAAATACAAAAAAATAAAAAATAAATAAAATTTGGTCATTTTAGTGAAGATTCTCACGTACAATACTCACTATAGTTTGTGAGTAAAACCAAGAACTGAAAGACTTAAGCCGCTTTTCCACCCGACCGATGAAGGATTTTGAAGGCCGATACCGATACAAATATTTGTTGGTTTTAAAATCCGATATATCGGCCGATATTATTATTATTATTTTTTTTTCAGAAACACACAACAAAACAGAAACTTGCGGATAAGTGGTTTTCTCTGGCAGGATCAGCAGGTTGCGTTATACACGAGTGTTGCCAACAGGGACGGTGTAGAGTGCCCTCTGGTGGACAAGCTATACAACGCCAAAGCGTGATTCGTCCGTTTTTTATTTCATTTTTGAAATATTCATTTATCTGCCATTATAACTGCCAATACCGATATTTTAGAAAATATCGGCCTGCCGATCTATCGATCTCGCTCTATTTTCCACCATCTGGCCAAAACGTTCTCGTTGCTCAATCATTTCCTTCAGTGCAGATCTGGCCCAGCTCTCCAAAGTAGTGTAGACCAGTGGTTCTCAAAGTGGGGTCCGCGGACCCCTGGGGGTCCGCGAGCTAAAGCCAGGGGGTCCGCGAAATAATTTACAACCTAACGTTTTTTTCCATGCTATGAGTCATGTTTTCTTTATCATCTGAAAACATGCTGTTTATTCCTAAGTAACTTATATAAAGCATTTAACATAAAACAATACAAAGTAGACACTTAAAGTTTTCTATAGATAGATAATCTATGTCTTTGCGTCAAGTAGATTCGCTGCTGTTGATTTTGCGGGACGTGCGCCAGAAAGGAGACAGAGAGACGGCATGAATCCGGTTCTTTTCTGTATTTTTAAAAGGCATGACATTTTGTAGTCATTTATAATGTAGCCTATACACAAATAAAAAATGGACACTTTACCGTTTCGGATGATGCACTCTTGTCTTATCTATGACCATAAATAAGAGTATTCCTGTTTCCACTGCTGAGGAAAAATTCCCATGTAATTGCGCGCCGGCGTCTCGCGTGCGCGCACAATAGTCAGTTCTAGCACTGCTACTGTAGATTTGACATTAGAAGTCTGATCATTATCAAAATAAAAGTGCATAGTGACAGGGCCGTACCCACAACTGAGGTTGCAAGGATGCACATCGCGATGATACTGACCTTCTCGTCTGAGGTGCTTCAGCAGACTAACAACGATAGCTCGTCAATGTCAAAATGTTTGAGTCGGAGTGAACTCAAAGTTCCCCGCACGACGTTTCAGTCAACGGTCATAAAGTGCGAGATAAGATGTAGGCCTTAAATTAACATAAACTAAACAGCTGTTTTAGATAAAAGTTTTAAAAAACGACTGAAACAATCAGTTTGCAAAGTATTAATCAAGCTCAACTTTAAAAAAGGAAAAAGCAGGTCAATAGAAACATACTGTGCCCATGAGATTAACATTATGGATTCATATATTTAACATATAGCCTACTGTATGTTTTTTTTAGCTAATTACAGTAGCTCAAATTAACAACGCACGCACCTATTAAACATAATGCCATTATCATTGTATTTATAGGCTTATGGGCTTTATTTGTGTGCAGAATAGGCCTAATTATTGAAACATTTCTCTTTTAAGGCCATTCCTGATTGGAATATGTGATTGTGTTTCGTGACATCTTGACAAAAAAAAAAAAAATGTATGCCACTGACTGACATGCTTCTACTAAATCTATAGTTATCCAATTGTGGGGCCTTAAAACACCTTAAAATGCACATGTGTAGATCAAGAACTTCAAAAATTCCTAAGTGAGGGATCCTAACTAAGTGATTCCTAGCAAGATCACTTTCGTTACCTCAGTAGGCTATTTAGAAATTCCTGCATAGTACCCTGGGTGGAGACCATTCATTTTGTGCAAAAATATTTCATTTGCCGCTCACACATTAACTTTGTGCTCAATAACTGTTATAAATATGAGGGGGGTCCTTGGAATTTTTTTTCCCCTGAAAGGGGTCCCTGGCACCAAAATGTTTGAGAACCCCTGGTGTAGACGACAGGCAAAAGATGTAAACAGTCCTTATACTCACCTTCACAGTGTTCTTGACCCATATGATCATCACCAGAACGTATTTCCCTAAACCTCAACTGTCAAATCTCATTTGTGTTTATTCAAAGATCGAGTTTGTGTACGTACCAAATAGACGAGAGCTCATTTTTATGTGTCCATACTGAAAAGAACACTGTAAACATTCAGATAAAAATACCCACACTAGGAAAATCATATTCCGTTAAATGATGACAAAGATAACAAGAGACATCATTGATTGCATTTTTAAAAACTATTAATTGAAAGACTGCCGTTGTGCGAGTCAGGAGAAGAGCACAGCCCACACTATTCACTGTTTCTGAGTTCCCTTGACATTTCCAACACTGATGAAACTGACACAATGATGAAATGTCACAGACAGTCCCCCAGCAATGAAGCAATAAAATATTCAAGGTTTGCAAAAACCTGCAAATTTCATTAAAAGTTTATGTTAGATATGTATGAGAGGGAAAGTAAATATTATGCATCTGAAAGACTTTCCGACAGCAGCCGCGTTCAGAACAGACCTCTCATCTGCTGAATATGCGAACGCTTTACAGAGACTTTCCCACAAAGACAATCACAACTAATGAACAGCTTTTGTGTTGGACTCGACTAATCACACACTTAACAGGGACCGTTTTAAAGGAGCCTTTCTAAAGATGTATGGTTGTTCGCATTACTTGAACTGAAAGTTGAGTCTACATGCATGTCAAGTCACTTTGAACGAATGTAGAGCAAGTGAGGCAGAGCTTATGCGAGAGGGCATTGATGCCTTTATCTATGGAATGACGTTGCCGTTGAAAGAAAACGGGTCATTTTAATGCACAGGATTAGAATGAAGGTTGAAATGTTTTTTTTTCTTTCATATATACCGTATATAACATTATAAGTGAACCTCAAGGAACGTATTGAAATTAAAATCCATTAACACTAATATAGTTATCGTTCCTTGTGTAAACAGGGCTTAACATACGCCTCACCATCTCTATCCAACGCATCACAGAATCTTTTGTTTATGAGAGCCAGTACAGCCGTGCATCACAAAGGCAGACCGATCTCCACAGCGGGGGCTCTGGGAACCATGGACACCTCTAATGAGAGCCACAAATAGATAAATAAACCCAATCATTACATTCAGGGGTTTGGTGCATCCCTTCGCAGTGGGCAAAGCACCGCAAGTCAAATCTAGACAAATGAATTTTGTTATTGGATTCCTGCGGTTCCATTTCCTGGACACAGATTTAAATATCACTCCCAGAAGACGTCGATTCTGAGCGAAACAAAGGGAGAGAAACACAGCATGCAGGCGGCCATTGAACGCTCTCAGAGAAAAGTAAAGCGAGATGACAAGATCAACATATGCCATTGGTTGAGTTTATTGTATCATTCCAAGAAGTCTGACTCGTCTGCCCTGTAGAAGTGAGACATGATTTGCATTTGGATTATAAAACATAATAATATTATTACATTTTTAGAATCAATAGCACTGATGAATTGTGTACAATCAGGGATATTTACTATTTATTAGCTATTATTATTATACATTGAATGATACATTAATATTTAAAATACAAGATAGAAATTAAAGCTGCAAGCAGCGATGGGCGGGCCCTCG